TTTCTCTATCTTCACTGACATTCGCCGTTATCTTCTGCATTTTAATATTATGGCAAATCTCACACTGTCATAATATGCTTTAATCCTTAGAATCCTTAAAAATATATAACCGATATAATATGAATAACATGGTAGCAATGTGCAGATGGACGAATGTCCAAAAGTATGCTTGACTTTTTTCTTGAACGAACGAATGAATGAACAGAAGAACTCACCTGCGAACAGGTGAAGGAACGAACAAAAAACGCTGCAGGAAGGAAGGAAGGAATGAATAGAATAATGCATTAAAGAATGGATGCAAAAATGAATGAAGAACAAATCTGTACAGTAACAGATCTTAAATAGTTGCGACAATAATTTCCACACATGTTTCCTTAAAACCCTATTATCACAAATTTTTTTGACTTACTGTAGCACTCGTTTTCCCGAACACACTCGCCTTCTGAGTTTCTGAGGAAGCCATCTTTGCAGAAGCAGCCCGGTACACATTCTCTGCTGCATATTCCTCCAGTTGGGTTTTCACACGTCTTTGGACATGCGGAACCGCATTGCAAATGATGTGCATTTTTACCACAAGGATCTACAATACAAACATAAATCATACCTCTGATTCGACATCCATAATCAAGCATAGCCATATTTGATAAATTTGTCATAAAGCATGTGGAATATGCTATCTGATTAAGTGCTTTGCTTTGAAAGATAGATAGCAACAACTACGTGAATGAGCGTACACAGAGACAACTCATAGTCCATAAATGGATGACTCTTTCAGAAGGTGTGAGCACAGCACCCATATTAATCATCAAAGAAACCATGATAAAATCTTTCCGCCATGCCGGCCGTCTGATTGGAAGTCGTCGACGCGAAAAATCTGGTCGATGCTTGACGAATGATAGTGATATTCAGATTTTGTCTTCACATTACATGTCTACAACAAGAGTCTAATCTAACCTGCTCGTTGTGGTGTCTTCCTGTTTTCCCGTGAAAGAAGGGAAAATAAGAGTCAGAGAGAACATGAAGTCAGAAAAGCAGCGCTGAACAGTAATCCGGTTTTGGGAGCGGATGTCGAAATAGCTGTTTCATTTCTACCAAAGTATGAACGGATTTGGGAACCACTGAGGGCTTGTTTCCTTCTGGCAGCAGTTTACTGTGAGTGGGATCGATTCCTGACGAACTATGATCGCACTGCTAAGGGAATACACACGAGCACAAAACTCCTGCATGAAGGGCAGTTTCGAATCTTGTCAGGCGTCACATGATAGTAACACAAGTCAGGTACATTTGCTGTCTTGCCGATTGCGCCATACAGAGCTATCATATTTCCGTACGTTAGAGTACGAAATCATAATGGGGCGATCATGTGAATATTGAAATGATGCATCTCTGGTTATAGTCCCTGCGTAGGATGGGGCTGGCCCTAAGAACACGCAGCGTCAAGAGGCAATGGCAATATCCATCGCTTTGACAGCTTGCCTGCAATCTGGTTTTGCCATACTAGCTGGCCAGTGCAAGCAGAATCTAATGCTTCGACAACCCATGCTGCCGTAGCCGTCGAGGTAGTGACTGAGAGATATTAAAATATTAAATTCGTAGCGTCGCTGGGATGGCACTTTAGGGGACATCCAGCATTACAGCGTTGCCCAAACAGGAACATTTGCTTGAAAGGAGAATTACGGTTCATCGTTCTCATCTTACTCATAAATATCAACAGCGATCATTAAGACTTAACAGGCTTAGAGTTAATAATAGTTTGAAAGGTACAATTTTCATTACTCACCTTTCGGAAACTGATTCTTTCTTGGTTACCGCTGATTCTATGGCTAGTTACATCCTTAGCCGCTCACAACTGTAGCAACCTGCCGTGGAAGATCTGGTGTTCTCTTTACCTCATAAGCAAAGTACCTGTCAGATGTGCGTACCGTCCGTACTCAGATGAAAGTTCCCGGATTCACCTAAACTCGAGTGTGCGGCTGTAGTCAAATGACTCGTTACTGAATGTTCGCTGCATAGGCTAAACGGCAAAAATACACAAGACGTCGGTGGGTGTCGGGGCTTTTGATACCTTTCCAATTTAAGTGTTGATTTATGAT